AGTTATATTATATTATTTCAAAATAAGTGTCATTTTAAAAATTTTATTCAGAAATTCGATTTGAATAAAATGTGGTTCCATAAAATAATTATTTTGGTAAAATTTGATTATATATTAAATATCTTTGGTGATAATAAGTATAATATTAAAATTTATATTGTTTTGATAATTAAAATAAATTTATTTTTGTACAAACTAATCAAATGAAAAAAATTAAGTAGTTGACTAATTCAAGATTAAATGGTGTTGCTTTGACTAGATTTTAAGGGTTATTCGATAATCTGTGGACAAAAAAAGGTAGATACTTAAAACATAAATGAACTGCATAACAGGTCGGCCTTAAGTGTTTTCAATTCAGGGTAATGTTTCTATTCGTGTCTTTCTTTAAGAAATTTTGTCTTGTGTTTTATGTCCGATTTTTTTTCTCCTCCTTTTTGGACATATTACAAAGGCATTATAGTAACACGAACTGTTCATCGGGCCGTACAAATACAAATTTAATTGATTCGACATGTACATTTAATGCGTCAGGCTACCCTACGTGTCTAGGACTGACTAGCCATCAAGTTAGGTGACGGAGACATGATCTCCATCATTGGTTTGCAACACTGACGCCTAGTTGTATTCAGACGAACGAATTTTGTCAATCTCCAAATGAGGAATGAATTTCATCTCCGGCAAAGCGTAAGGATGTTTGTCTCGTATTCGGACGAACGAATTTCGTCCTCCGGAGGGTTGCATGGGATTGTCCAAGCACAATTTGATATTCGGGTTACGATTCTCGTTGCCTCGGATTTTGATTGAATATAGTAGGGATTGGGGCTTCGGGTTCAATCAGATCCATCCCAATGTTTGGGTCATGATTATCATCCTTCTGGTATGTTGCCGTCTGAGTGGGTGGCCATACTCGACCGCCGAAGAGATTAGGATCATGTTCTTATTCCCGGAGACATTGAAAAAGGCGGGTTGTTACTATCTTGCGACTAGAGAAAAAGATTATCCACGCGTGGTTTGTGGGAGTTCCCGAGACCCTGAAAGGGTTCAAATCCGAGTGGTTTTGGATCGACGATGATTGGGAATCGTCCGTGCGAGAAGAGGATAGGCAGTCAGAACTTTGTGTTTTTGTTCCTACTAATTTCATCACTTGTTCTGGTGAGTTGAGTGGGTTTACCGTCTTTATATAGAAAAAAGAGACGTTAGACCAGTTCTGAAACTTAGTGACAGCTTCGTCGAAAAACTCTAGTTGTTGCTCGATATCGGAAAATCAAATCATCATTAGAAGAAACTAGCCACCAACAGCCTACCGTTTTCGCCTCCGAACATATTCGGTCATCAGGCTGGTCGGTAAATTTTCTCTTTACGCTCTTTGTATTTCGAATAGATTGGTTATTCTGAACTTCACCTTTTGTCCAGGCAGCTTGAGAGGTTTCTGCACCCTCAACGAGGCTTTAGAATCACTTCAATCCATGTTGTTAGTCGAGAATTAAGTATCCCTTTAAGTCGAGCCTCAAGCAAACTAAGAATTCAATTTTTCCGAGAGTTTAGACGAGTTTTCATTAAGAGGAATGAACTAGCGAAGCTAATTAATTAAGTTAAGTTTTTAGTTGAGCACGTCAAGATAACTAATTAAGCAATTGGGAAGCCAGGTAATTAGTTTAAGAAGCGAAGAAAAGTTTGAGAAAATCGAGAAATACGAGCTTTGTTCTAAGAAGAGTTCAAGAGAAGATTAAGAAAGTCAAGAAAAATCAATTAGTTGAGAGGAATAATTGATTTTCTCAAAGAGCTAAAAAATTGCTAATTTCAAACCAATCAAGAATTTACATTCCAATAATTAGATTTCAATATACCCAATAGTGTAGATTTTCGAGGAGTCGAGTTTAGAGCATTTTCGTCAGACAATCCAACTGCATTACGAGGTGGGGATTTCTATGCTACGTTTTACAATCTTTATAATTGCTTATATTATGGTTAAGATCTGTAGTTTGTTTAATTATGGATTAGATTTCTGATCTTGGCAGTACCATCTGTCCAAAAAGACGAGGTGTGGACTTCTGACTTTTGGCTCCTAAAAGGACTTATATTTTCAGATGCTCCTAAAAAACCCAATACTTTCTAGACAAAAACGACCGTATGAGATACAATTCCCCACCATCTATGAGACATACACGATGATGAGTTCCTCACTTTGTCTGATGTTAGCAGTAAAATGAAATCAGAAATCAGGCTGTTGGACTTTCTTTTCCAAGCTTCTTGTCGTCAGCTTGCAATATATGGCTCCTCAGACTACACTCAGTCACCTGGCATTTGGACTTCTGTTAGTATATTCGGACACTTGTCAAGACAATGGAGGTATTGGAGCAGAAAATAAAGACACTGAATATCGCCGAAAAGTACAAAATATTATGTAAACTGAAGGTCTCCAAATTTACCTGCAAGGGTATGAATGTTCTCGAAAACAAATCTGTGTATTCCTCAAGCAAACAATGCTCCTGAGCACTTAACTTACTCAGTTCAGAAACCAGTAAGTTCATCTGCTCCACCTGTTGATGCAATGAAAGGTAATTCCAGTAAGTGTGCGAGCATAACATATATACTCTCTCGTTGCTCTCTTCAGGAATATAAGGATCCAAAAAATTGAAACGTATTAGCATGTTAACTTTCATATTCTTTATTACAGCTATCAATGGCTCACCTCAGCGAAGTATCTAACAAAAATACCGAAAAATGGGTATGGTCAAAATAAGTTGCTCAGGATCGTTATTCAGCATGCCAAACATTCGGCTCGTTTTCCTTGTTTTCTTTTACAAATTTATACCTTTATGAAATATGATACGCCCAATTATTCAATTAAAGTAAGGTAGAATCAAAATACACTGTTTTGGTTCAGTCATTCTATTAATAATGAAATACCTTCACTTGCAAAGAGCAAACTGAAGATGCCATTGCTTGCATCACGTCAACAGCTGAAGTTATTGCTTCTTGCACCTTAAGAACTTCAGCCTGAAATTGATAAAAGACAAGCGAATGAGAGAGCACTATAACTTATTCTAGTTCAACAGAAGATGATCGATAATCCAAGTGGCACTAAATAAATGTATCATGCATGAGGAGAAAAACCAACATACTCTTGCCCCACAAACAGGAAGACGAATAGTGCCAGCTTCCAAAGCTTTAATAGCATCAGAGACTGACCTGTGGTGATCCTGATCCAACAGATTCCAGTTTTCCAAATGTGGTTCCTGTACTCAACAAATAAAGTTAAAGATCAGACGAAGAAAGTCCAGAAGATCATTTATAAACCAGAAGAAAAAATATGAGAGGTCATAAGAGCAGATTAGAGGACTTACTTGTTTCTTCAATATAGAATACAGTTTGTGACTACGTCTCAGCAATTGCAACTCAATTTCCTTGGAGATGACCGAATGTCGCAATTTAAAGGTCGTCATACAAGCATCATAGAGGCTTCTCTGGAGAAGAAAAAAGTTGAGAGCAGATATGAAAATAGTTACATTTTAAATGGTAAACCAAAGAACCCAACCGGTAGCCTATTAATGATATGTAGGAATGAACTATGTTTTTACAATCTAGACATTAAGTAAATGACATGGTGGCATCAATCATAATAACAGAAAACAAGATGCTTATGCAAAAATAATTGGTTTCTAAAGACTTGTGATGTTATTGATCAGTCATCACACCTCTAGTTAAGAAATAACATGATTATAAATCCCAAATGCAAAACATACTCTTGCATTATTTCCACACTCAGGCCAACTAATAACATAAGAGGGACTTTCAATTAATAAAAAAATAGAGCTCCATATTTTATTAACTATTCCAGAGCTGAGTGAGGTGTTCCTTAACAACTTATCATACCTCAGTTGTTTTCTTGTCAGAATCAGGTAAATATCATCAGTGATAACAAATCATTTCAGTTCTTAGTTTCCTTGAAAATCACCTGGTTGACCCGTTAGGTGAACATATTCACATGCAATATCACAATCAAATACACAGGTAACTTATGAACATAGCAAGCCATTGCGCCCATACAAAAGTGAATAAAATTTACAACTCGCAACAAATGTCATCATACATGTGCTCGACAATCGACATGATTACTGCATGTATTAATGAATTTTCTCAAACTATATATTTTCCCTTTTATTTAAATATATCGGATGTGTAATAAATCTAATATTATCATGACCCTGCACATTAAATTGCCATAAACTACTTGTCAGAAAGCAAATATATACTGTTAGAGTTCGTAACAGTAAAAGTCAAATAATACTACAAAGAAGCTTCCATCTTATTATAATTCTATTTCCTGTTCTTTCTGGATTACTTGCTACACTCCACCCTCATGTGTACTAAACTATGACAGAAAATGGGAATACTAATTTTCAGACAAGTAATAACATCTAACAATGTAGATTGGCTTTCATACATAGTCCTTTCTTTCCCTCTCTGACAAATGTTTAAGATTTATCAAAATAGTAGTGTTCATTACAAACTACTTGAAATATAATATATAGTAAAACCCTTTGAGCAGTTTTGGCATTTTAATATATCTATATCAGGAGATCATAGACCTTGAAGAATCTAGTAGTTAGACTTTGTGAACATAATAAACTATTTTAATTAAAGCACCAAAGCAGTTCTGTTCTCTGCACAAAATACAGAACATTACTTAACCCCAAACAGTGGCATCCCTTTACCCACCCCCTGAACACACACACAACACACACACACACACACACACACAGAGAGAGAGAGAGAGAGCAATTAACTCCTATTTTACTAGTAGTCTACTTTAAACTTTATAATTCTGAAGTACACCTTTGCTGGTTCAATTTAAACATTAGTTTCCGAAAGGAACAGACTCCGCCGTTGCCAATAAGATCTAGTTCTTGATTATGTTATCTCAAACATTAGTGTAGCTCAACTCTCCTTAACTCTAATCAACACATCAAGCCAACAGCCCAAAAACTTGAATAGGGTACCCAGCATATAATAAAATTATTTTAACCCATAATAATCTTCTCAAACTTGCTTTTACCTAACCACAATGTAGGGGGCAAACTAGTACCTCAGCCGTATATCTTTGCACCAACATGGTATTCTCGACCTTTGCATTTGCTAACCTCCACTGCAAAAGCCGATTGTGGAGTAGCATCAATCCATGTGCATCCGCTATTCGGTTCTCTCCCAACTTCCCTCTCCTAACATCAGTGGCATAGCTTAATGCAGATGGTGTGCAGCATGTGTTATCGCCATTCATCGAACTCACTGTTTTGCTTCTAACCATTGATGGACTAGCAATACCCCTCAAAACTGCACCAGTTGATGAACTCAAGGCCCTGCATGGGGAAGCCGCTCTTACACTCGTTCGAACAGGTGATAATCCCCTAGAGGGGTAAAGTTCTCGAGGGGAAGATACAGGACTACTATTTGGAAATTTCTTCTGCAGAGTGAATTTTGAAGGACCTAATGTTCCATTTGACAAAGGTGAAGCGGGTTCTGGTGCTTTATGTACCCTTTTACCCAGTTGAATTGTGTGTATACTCCCAACATCTGAATTCAACGGCTTCTGTAATCTCCGTCCAACCTCACTTGTTCCTCGAGTCTCTTCAATGTTATTCTTAAGCTTCAATTCAGTAACAGACTTGCGCATACTAGTTTCATCGACCACAGACTTTCTCACCTCCCGGAGAACATGCCCTGATCCACTCCATTTCGCTTTCTCTGAACCGTGATCCAAACTCCGGGCCAGCAAACTCGAATTCTCCACACGTAATCTTCCTGGCCAGCGATGTTGCTGAAGTTGTTGCTGGCCAGTCGGCTTGGAATTCTCCCTATTCTTCTCTCCACGATCT